AGGGAGCTTTTGGGAGGGAAATTTCCTAAAGACTGTGTGCATCTGCTGAGCATGCTCCACCCAGAATCTGCAGGAGCAGCAGCAGAGTAGCCCTATAGCACCTCCAAGCCATTAACTAGTGTATTAAGCACACACATAGAGACATTGAGGCACTTCTGGAGCTCTAAGTGTTTGACTTTCCATTATATCGTTCCTTTAATACAGTCTACAAAGAAATGACAAATGCTCCATCCCTGGTAGAGTTCAAGGCCATGTTAGACAGAGCCTTAGGTGACATGGTCTAGTGTGAGGTATCACTGCCCATGGCAGTGGGGCTGGAACTAGATGATCTTAAGGTCCTTTCTAACCCTAAACTATTCTATGGTTCATGCAATCTAGTAGCACCCTTCTGTGTGAAAGGAAACAAATCAAACCCAAATGCTACGGTGGAATTTTTAATCTCTTCTTTCACAGCAAATGCATTAAGCTTCAAGATACCCAGGTGCTGAGAAGAAAATAAAGATTTCCTTCCTGAGGTTTCGCTCACATATTTTTTGTGAACAGACAGTTACAGCCAAACACGTACCATCTCGAAATATAAGACTGCGTCAGTCTTGTCAACAGAGGATCAGGAATATGAATCACATTGCCAGCAGACTGGAATTTGTATTAAATGTATCAGTAAGTAGTGTGTTCACATCATGACTCTGCCTGCCAGAAGGCGTGTATTCTCTGTGATGAAGTACAATTTCTCCCATCAGTAATTCAAAAGCTGGAGGCACTCAGCATTAAATCACTTGAGACCAGACATCTATTAACACATTTGGAAACATGGGAAAACTTTTCCAATATACTGTGATAGCTAGCAGATGATTTATTCCTAGTATCTGTTCAAAGGTAGTGATCTAGATAATAACTGAACTCAGGAATAAGCTAAGGAATACAGGACCAGCATCTTAAAGCAAATATTTTGGTTTAATATATACACAGATAAAAGTACAACCATGAAAGACATTTTTAGTGTTTCGTGTCAAAATTCATCTTTGGATAGCTTCATGAATTTCAATGCACAGAACAATAACCTTGGAACCAAAAAGCATATCTGTATCTTTTTAGCTAAATAAAATAGCAACATCAGAGATAAAAGTTGCATTCATTATTAAAATTGTGCCTTTTATATTATTTCAGCTTCAGATTTGGTCTACATATGTAGCATTGTGACAAATTTATGTTTTGTTTCAAAACTTTTTGTAAGTGATATACTCTATTTAAATAATGATCGTGATGATGATGACAATGATGATGACAAGAATATCAAGACTTTCTTGTGTCTGGTTTTAATATCCATTACTGTGTCAACTCTCCTGAGAAGTGGTTACTAGGATGTAGGGTGATGTCTGTCTCTGGTTATATCCAACTCCCCAGGCATAATTTCCAGAGATCTTCAAGGTCAATTTTTTTGTTTGGCATTTTGCTTTGTTTGGCATTCTTTCAAACTTCTTTCCCAAATAGCATTGAAATGTTTCCTCCACAAAGTTTTTACTGATTCCTGTGTTGTTAACTCAGAATCCAGGAGATTTGTTGCTTAAATAAACATACAATTTTAACAGTTTTTGGTAAGTATACTGAAATGGATGCAAGAAACATAAACCCACAATTCTAAAGGTCTTTCAGAGTGTCAGTCATGATGTATAGAAGCGTTTTATAAATGCAATAGCACTTGCATATGTTTGCACTGCACCTCTAAGGCAACATTTGGATAGAAATTCAAGAAGCCATTGGATAGAGTTTCATTGCCTCCAAAGTTCATTATGGAACGATGATAGAACAGGTACCTGTGGAAAGTATATGCTGGTCCGCTATGTTGGCAAGAAAAACAGCAAGAGGGAGTGGGTATAGCCTGCTTAGTTTCACTCAAAGCCTATTGCCTCTTTCATTCCTGAAAAAGTGAAGCACCAAGTAATGGAAGTTTTAAAGAGGGCTTGTAAAGATGTCCAGAAATTGCCTTCTTAATAAGATGACTCTCAGTCCTGAACTGGCAATAGCAGGAGCATCATACAAGCCCAAGAGAAAGACACAGCTTCTGCCCTTTTGGTTCAGAAAGGCAAAGTGAAGAGAACCTGGGGTACCTCTACAAGAGATTAGACAAGTAGAGTTTGGGAACAATACTGCAGATCATGAAGCTCTACCTGTGACCATAAGAGCATAGAGGGGTCTGGTGTTGTGCACACATAGGACTGGAGAGATGGGTATTGGGATGGCAGTTGGAGTTTTGATGTGGTAATGTGAATTGCATCCGGTTTATTTCTGAGTTTCTAACAGTGTGATTTCCTTTATTCAAATCTATATGGATCATCTAATACAGCACTAAATTAATTGTTTCTGACTGCCTTACTGTAAGCAACACAATTCCCATTTGAACAGCTTTCCTTTGCAGACCTGCTTCGCTGCATGTATGAATCGTCTGTTTCACAGCCATGACTGTTTCCTGTAGATACCCAGGGCATTCGGGGCCAACCTCCTACCTTATGAAGACAGAACATGGCATGCCCTTTTTCTCTTTTTTTTTTTTTCTTTTTCCTTTTTCTCTGAGAAATCCAACCCAAATGGGATTTGACTGAAATAACTGAATAGCTGGATCATCTTACTTTCCCTTTGTCTGCTCATGATCTTCTTCAGCCAAGAATAGTTAACATTCATGAGCTCTTGAGGATACTTTTATCCTGGCCATGTGTTTGGGAACTAGACAATACAGCCATGTCTGCATGCCATGTTTGCCTCACATAATAAACTCTGCCAGGTGCAGCTTGGGTCTCCACATCACACTGCCAGTCTTCCACCAACAATGTGAAGTTAGGAGCAGTTTATTCGACCCGATAACCAGTTAACATTGTCAGAACCAAGTGATCAGAGTGAAATTGGCAGGACATAAGTTTGGCACCATCTTTAAAATTTCATCAGCATCATTTTAGGGAAAGATTAAAGAGATTATCGCCCAACACCTCTGGCTTCAGCATTCACCAACAACAAGTATCGGAACTAGGACTGGCTATGAGCATACAGCAACAGTTCTGTAGAACAACAGAATTATCAAAATATACTGTAAAGAATGCAAAACACATGTTGGGATTTTCCTTTCATTCTGTAGGGTTTGTTTTCTTCTGTAATAAATCTATACGGAATTGGTAGATTACATTGTCTTTGATCTTATCTGTAATGCAAAATATAAACCAATCATTTTTAAGAAAGAAGCTAATTCCTTTTACTGATATGTGCCTTTCCCATGTAGTAACAAAACCCTGGAAAGTAAAAAAAGAAAAAACACCAAACCACCCAGATAAACAGAAACTATGGCAGTGCCAGGATCAACAACATAGCCATTCACCTCCAGAGTGTGAACTAGTATGCTATGTATTATTCTGCTCAGAAAGATTTGTGTGAGAAAACAGAATCTAGACATCATTGAGGAAGGTTTTCATCTCATAACTGGATTTTTTCTTTTGCATGTGCTTCTACAGTGCCTCCAGGGATTTGTACATTCAAATTTCTGATTCTCCCATATGGAATGGGAGCAATGCAGAAGTCTAAGTAGTAGAAGTTATACATTTTAAATATTGGAGGCCAGATCAGGGGTGTAAAATGGCAGAGTTCCACTGAAGTCTCTGAGCAGCATTCTGACTTCCATCAGTTCTGGATCTGCACGACTATTTACACACAATTTAAATGTCTGTTTTCTTCCAAATGTATAGCTTTTGAGGCTTTCAGTGTGTTTTGCTGCAAATCCAGTAGTACAATGACACAGGTAATTCCTTGAAGCATTTCTGTTTACAGACCTTTTCCATATTTTAATATCTAACTAACTGCAATCAAAGGAAGTAGAAAAACAAAACCCCACCATTAACCATTGAATCAGGTCACAAGAGAGAACCTGAGTGCTAATTTGACTGAAAGTCTTAGGAAGTCAGTGGCTGAATATAGCAAATATCCTATCAATAGTATGGATTGTACCATCCTATCAATAGTATGGATTATATCTTGGATGTTCGTACCCCAGATGAAAATGTTGTCGTTTGAGTTACAGAATTAGTCTGACAGAGCACATGTGGGGCAGAAATAATAACTATCAATTAAAGAGAGGGGGGGAAAAATCAAACAAACAAAACCAATGTAACAAAAACAGCAAGAAAAAAGGATCAATTGCAATTATAAGAGACTTCATACTGACTCTTCCCATTCCTGTCATGTTCTGGTACCATCTTCACCCACCTTCTTCCTCTTCCTAATTTTCAGAGATCTGTTCTTCTTGCCAGACAGACTGGGACACTAGCTTTACCCGTGATAAAGAATAACAATATTTCGTTCATACCCCTATCTGGTCTAATTATACAGGGCATAAAAATGACAGTATATTCAGCAGGCATTAACCTGAAGGGTAAGTATTCATTGTACAGCAGCACTTCTCACAATCCAATCAGTGTTTAGCTTAAATCAATATTTCTTTGAGTATAATTTAAAGACTATTACACTCCCCACGCTTTTATAGCTTTTCCATTGAAATTTGAGACTGCTAGCATTCACAAAAATGAAATGTGCATAGCACTGATGAAACATAGTATAACGTAGGCAGATGATATGCAAGTATCACCAAGAATCTCTGTGAATGCAGCTCTACTCTCACCTGAAAGAGCCTTACTGATATTCCTTCCATAATCCTCTGATTAAACTGCAGGCACTGAAAGGGGATTAAATAGCTACCTGCATAAAACACCACAAACCAGGAAGCAAAGAGCATTTTGAGATAAAAATACACAGATTTATTTTTATCATGAAGGGGAAGTAATTGAATTTGAGCCTGAAGGGGTTCTAAGCACACTCTGCCAATAAATTGCCTGCCAGGGCAAACAGGTCTGAATACCAATACAAAGTGCACATTCCTAAAGCCCATTTTTATTTAAAGTAAGCACACATGTGTGTATTGAGGGAAGAGGGAGTCACTTAACTGCTTGCACACCAGGGAATACACAAACCTGAACTGCTACTCTGCTGATGATACCTGTGATCCACAATGGCATCTGAAACGGAAGTAGGTATTCATTGTCACAAGAACATCAAATTCCTTTTCTTTTTTTTAATGATAGCATGCTGCTTGGCATTTTATAAATGTACATAAGGAGTTAATTTAAAGCAGGTATTGATAATAGCTGGCAAAGGATTTTCCTGACTTTCTGCTGCCTTCTCAAGATTTGCCAGACTTCTCCCCAGTGACACGAGAATGATGAACAATTCACAGTTCAACTAGAAAACATATTCAAGTCTAAGTATGCCAGAGTTTCCAATTATGTTTTAATTTGTTGGACCAGTTAGTTGTAAAATTTTACTGCTTAGAAACCCAGAATCAGAGAAGGGAAAGTACTTCAGGACAAAAAATATATAAGACACTTTTACATATCTCTATCAGTCTTTACAAGAATTCACTCTGATAACATAGTGGTGATGGAACTACTGAGTCAGGCTTGCACAACACAGAAACTTCCTGTATATGCTACAGAACTGCAGAGAAACATATTTATACAACAAAAGACAATTTCCCAGCTTCTTTATCCACAAAACATGGGATGGTGGTAAAATACTAATATGTCTTGTGAATGTAGCAAATGTAAACAGAACCACAAAAAGCATTCAACAGTTATGCAGCAGTACTATTTTCCTCAGGGTCTCTGTCTACAAGATGAATGCTTCCTGTGATCACCGATTCCTCTTGAGCCGAGGTGTTCTCTACCTGCTTACTTGTGCAATATGGAATGTGGCCACAAAAATACATGTAAATCCAGGGGTTGGTACAGCTATTTAAATTGCCAAGGAGCATGATAATGGTGAATGCCGAACCTAAAATGAAACAGTTAAAGAAATAAGAGAGTCAATAAAGTACTCGTACAAATCAGTAACATTTTCATAGTCTGCTTTTTTCTGGTGTACCTGTTCATATATTAAAGTTAATCTAATAGGAGGAAATTCCCATTTATTCAATGAATTTGTTAACTGTTAAAGGTATGAAGCACACCTTATTCTATGCATTTCAGAGTTCAATAGATCCAAATAGCTCTTTTTTAATGTAGCTTCATTAGATTTAAAAGCAATTACTAACCTGCTATACAGATAAATACAGATATATGTATTGATATAAATGTATGTATAATAAGACTCAAATTCATACTGACAGGAAGAATTCTTAAAACAAAGATCAGAAGATGGGTTTTTTCATCGGGCAGAGCTAATATCTTTTTTTTTCCTTTGGTTTATACCTTTGATTTTAGAATAGGTGAACTTAAACAGCCACGTACAGAGTGTGCAACTCACAAAGAGGTGACAGTATAAGTTTGACAAGATTAATCTTGTTTACAGCATGGTGTTCTTCAATACCTCCCTCAGGCTTGCTTTTTTGCTTTATAAGCAGCTGTTTCATAACTTTTAATTATTTCACAGTGTACTACAGAGATTTCATCAATATGATTTTATGATTTCAATATTCAGAAAAAAAAAACAGATATAACATCACTGTTCTATCCAATAAAGAAGAAACATTTCATTATGTGGAATAGTTCATCCTTTTCACCTCAAGAACCAAAAAATCTGAAGTTATAATATCTAAAACCTCTAAAAGTCTGAACCTTTGATAAAGCAGGTGATACTTTTCACTGTGCTGTTCATTAATCTTTAAACCATTAACCACTCAAAGCACACAAAATACACGTTTTGATCACATAACATTAAGTTCTCGGAAGCTAATTAGGTACAGTACATAATCAATGCAGAAATTTCATTTAATCATACTCCAATGATCACATGTAACTTTTACACAAAAGCAAAGTGCAAATTTAAAGCAACATAGAAATTTGCTAGCTTGCTATGAAGTTATGAATGAGGATTGAGAGTATCTTACCTTCTGTCACGACACTGGGGAACCACACGGACCACAGCTGTGCAATGAAGAAAGGTGACCAACAGAGAACATATGCAACAACTGTCACCACTGTCATTTTTACAGTCTTGATCATAGCCTTTGAAATACAGTTCACACTGCTTGCTCGGGATGGCAGGACTTGCTTCTGATTTGTTACTTCATATTCATTCTGGTTTTTAACACACATATTTCTTTTGATTTTTCTGCAAATCTTAACCTGGCAAGTGATGAGGATGGCTGAGGGAATGAAGAATATAACTACAAAAATCCAAGTCACATATGCCCTTGGACCCCATGGCTGAATAAATTCACCCCAACATTCAAAAATACCTGGAGATATTTCAGTCTTAGAAAAGATAAATACCTGCGGTAGGCTAAGAAACAGTGATATAGACCAGCTGGTGCAAATGGGGATGTTCCAGAGAGCTCTCTTCTTTTGGAAAGTGACCATAGGGTAGCAAACTGCTTGATATCTGTCCACTGTCATGACCACTATCATGTAAGTAGAGGCAAACATGCCCAGCAACTGTAGATACTTGATACTTCTGCACAAGAAATCTGGCCCTATGAAAACATCTGTAATATCCCATATGAGTTGAGGCAGCACTTGAAAAAAAGCTACCACTAAGTCAGCAATGCTGAGGTGAAGCATGAACACATACATCCTAGAGAGCTTCCTTCTTCTTCGCCACAGCACCAGTATGAGAATAAAATTGCCCACAGACGCTGTCAAAAATATGACCCCCAGTACAGCAATCTCTACTTGAGCTAATTGCTCATCTCTTTCTGGTCTTCCAACAGGATCTGACTGATTTGTCAAACTCAGGAATCTGTGAGAAGAAGGACTCTCGGTCTGATGTGTGTTATCCTGCATAGGAAATGAAAAATTCTTCATAGTGAACAGCAGCCACTTACAGTAGCTGCTATTTGCGACTCAGGTTGACAGCTGTGAAGTACTGGCTAGCAAACAGACCAGCCGGGGTTCAGGTTTCGGTATATCTTCAAGCAAATCTCCTCCTGCTTGTGCGAACCACAGCAGTGGGACCTGGATCTTGATAAAATTCTGCCTCTTGCTGGCATGCAAAAAGGCTTTATATAGGCTCCCAGCAGACAGAGCCTTATGTAACTGCAGAGCCCTCGGGTAGGCTGCAGGGAACGCAGCCAAAGGCAGACCGAGCCACACAATTGGGGGAAATAGATAAATAAAAGGCAAACTTCAGAGGCTTAATGTAATTTGATTACTCACTTCAGTCGAAGCCTGAACTTGTAAATAGCTGTGGCCGAAATCATACTTAAATGATCCTACTCAAGAGAGTTCTTGCAAATATTTTTTACGCAAACCAGAAGTGAACACTCCGGCTGAAGCTAGAGGAATGTTTATACGTAGATGGAAAGTTGGGCCCTGAGCTCAGGCGCATCATAACTGCAATTCTCTAGGCTCCTGGGGCACAACCACATCCTAAATGCAGCAGGGACAAAGAAATGCAATTTTCCATTGTCGCCTTCTTTTTTTTTCCTTCTCTTTTTTTTTGAGTCACCTGATTCTAAAAAAAAAAATAAAATAAAAATAAACAAACAAAAATATTTGACCTGCCCTAAAAATAATGTTTTTATTTCAAGAAGGGTCAAGGCTCAGAGGTTTTTTCTCAGCAAAATGAAAAATAACACATGTGAAATAAATTATTTTTGATGGGATTGTGAGTCTACTGAGAATATAACAGAGAAATAAGTGAAAATTCAGTGGGAAATCCAACTGAAGAAAAGGTCTCTACAACAAAACAATCTTCAAGTGTCTATTCTACTATAGTGCTAAAGGTTGGGAGGTCATTTTTCATTAGCTAAGCATTTATAGTTTTGTGGAGTAAGTTGTATCATTACCACAAGAGTTTCATTGGGTTTTGACCTTCTGTATGACTTTGGCATATACTTAGTGGCCAATAAAAATAGCAATTTTGATTTAATTTCAGTTCTTCTCCCTTAGTCTGCCCCTTTAATCACAAAAGAGAGATTTAATAAAATGAATGAATCTAATACAAAAGATAACACATATTTGTATGCAATTTTCTTTGGAGCTAGAGCATTCGTATCCTTTTGTTTAGAGTTGAGAGACCGGCAATTTGAAGTCTTTCTGAAGAGGAAATTGGTAAGGTTAAATGTCCATGATGCAAGTATATGTATAGTACATAATGCTGCATCTACACTGATTAATCACTGTGATCACAACTGTGTTATAAAACCAGCTCAGGAATCTCACAGACTATCATCTCTTTGGCACTATATGTATCAACAGACAGGAGAAATGAAATTCATAAACAGGATGCTAAAGTAGACTACAAAGGTTTATAAAATCAGCATGATCTATTTCCTTCTTTCCCCATTCAATCCCACCATGAGACTGATACTAATACCTTGTCCTGGTTTCAGCTGGAATAGAGCTAATTTTCTTTTTCTTAGCAGCTAGTGCAGCGTTGTGTTTTGGCTTTAGTCTGGGAGCAATGCTGATAACACCCTGATGTTTTAGTTGCTTCACAGTAGCACCTACCCTAACCAAGGACTTTTCAGTATCATGCTCTGCCAGTGAGGAGGGGCACAAGAAGCCGGGAGGAAGCAGAGACAGGACACCTGACCCAAACTAGCCAAAGGGGTATTCCATACCGCAGCACATCATGCCCAGTATAGAAACTGAGAGAAGCTGGTTGGGAGCTACTGATAGCTGCTCAGGAATGAGTTGGGTATCAGTCAGTGGGTGGTGAGCAACTATACTGTGCATCAGGTTTTTTTTGGCGGGGGGGTGTGTGTGTGTGTGTGTGTGTGTGTTATTCCTCTCTCTCTCTCCCTTCCCTTCTATAATTATTAACATTATTGTTGTTGTTGTTGATATCATCATCATCACTATATTTTAATTATTAAACTGTTCTTATCTCAGCCCACAGGTTTTTGCCTTTTGTCTGATTCTTCTTCTCATCCCACCAGGGTGGGGAGGGGGCATGAGTAAGCTGCAGGTTGCCACCTGTGGTTAAACCATGACAACCTCAAGCAAGGGTAAGTCTATGAGAACAGACAACAGAGAAACTGAACAATCTCTGGAAACCTTGCCACTGACAGCAGCTGTAAGAATCCATAATCCAGATTTGGCTGAACACTGCTGCAGCTGCCTGAGACTACAAGAGCTTTTCTCTAAGACCATGTTGCAAACAGTATGAATCACAACAACTTAATGTAATATACTGGATAATTTTTTTCCTAAACGGAAGCCTAATGGAAGCCTTCAAGTAGGAAATCTTGATTCCCAAGGTTGTTTCTTTTTAATTTCCCCCCCACTTCAGAATCTATCTCTATTAGTAGGAAACAGCATGGCAAGACCATAAGGAAACAGATGTGTTTGCCTTTACCCTCACACTCCCTTCCCAGCAAACTGAAGAAGAGTAACTGAATTGGCCACAGACCACTAACCCCTGGCAAGGCTGCCAATAGCAGACACTGAGCTGTAGAACAGGCTGGCTGAGCTTCACTTCTGCCTTCAGATGTGTACTCCAAAATAACTTACCTTGACCATCCTCGCTCCATGAGTTAACAAAAAGCCAAGTGAGATCTTTACTCTTCTAGCAGAATACAGAATAAACACGCACACTTAGGCAGAGCTAGGAGTACATGGATTGAAACAGGAACATGTTGAATACAAAACTAAGCCCAGGCTCAGGCATTGAAGATAAAAACTAATTTAAATTTCATTATCTGAAAGATGATCAAGGAATTATAAATAAAAAGACCAGAACGTGCAATACAAGTCACCACTGGGGTACTACTGGAAGACTAACAGAATATAGCACCATGAGCATGCATTTGTACAATTTTCATGATGCATAACGTATGGTAGACATGTATTTCAGGGAAAAGTGTTTGTCACTTAAACCTAGAATAGTTCAACAGGAGCCCTGGGAACAGACAGCTCTTCCTAGGCCTACACATGTACACAGCACACAATGTCTGGACAGCAGACATACTGTAATAGGTATCAGACCCAGCAAGTGGATACAGGTTAAAGGGCAAGCACACTGTGCAACAAGACTTTGCCCATGTTTATAAAAAGGGAGGTGGCCTTTCTTGTACAAATTGTTCTAGTGATGTAAGACTACACTCCATCTTGCATATAATCAGGTCAATGTAACTTGATATTTTCATAACTTTGTAATTGTGCCCTTTCCATCTTTTTCAACCATGTTAGCAGACATTTGGGATAACGTTATATTGAAATTTCATCCACTCTGGGACTATAACTGGCTGAGAAAATTAAAAAAGGATAACAGATAAAAATATTTAAGTCCTCTTAGCTGTTCTTTTACTCCAATAGCATCCTTTTCCTGTTGCCTAGCTTTGCTTCATTCCAAACCGTATCTGTCCAAGTTAATTTTTTTCCTAAATTATTTAAGTTCAGTAGTGTGGGAAGGCACATTTAAATTAACTTCTGCTGAATTTATCAGTGTAGGCTCTCTTCTAATGTTTATTGGTTAGCTAGCAGGGAGGGATTCAGCTCACAGGTTAAGACTTAAATTTAGATGTCTGCTTAGAATTACAGAATTATACAGCTGCTCAAGAAAGGGACAACACTGAATTCATATAATCATAGAACAGTTTGGGTTGTAAGGGACCTAAAGATCAACTAGTTCCAACCCCCTGCCATGGGCAGGAACCTCTTTCACTAGATGAGGTTGTTCAAAGCCCTGTCCAACCTGGCCTTGAGACCAGTTTACGCAGGGTTTGTCCAGCCAGATTTTGAAAACCTCCCAGACCTTAGACCCCAGATCCTCCCTGGGTAACCAGTTACAAATGCTTGTTTATTCTCACTAGGAAAAAGTTTTCCTTACATGTCACCAGACCCTCCCCTGGTTCTGACATCTTCTTGCTCTCCCATGACCTCAGTAAGAGCATGGCTTGCACCCCTTGCCAGCCTCCCCATAGGTACTGGGGGGCACTGTTAGGCCCCCTGAAGCTATCTGTCCTCCAGGCTGAACCAGCTGTGCTAGAAGCCTTGCCAAAAATGTTGGATTTGAGGAGTTAGTGATCTTGAACAAGACATCTGAGTCTACTGAGCCTTGTCCTTAAAGCCTGTACTGGCACCTGTGAAAGTTATGAGAGAGATTATGTCCCAGCCTGTCCAGGGAAGATGATTGTTTGCTACACAAAATAAAAGGCTCCACATCGTGGGAGGGGGAAGAAGCCCCTCCATAGCTGGCAACTATGCAGTGTGCTGTCCAATGCTGCACAAAAGCAGGGTTCCCAGTATTGGAAGGGACCAAAGATTTCCTCACTGTCTGTATTTCTGGTTTTACCCTATCTTATGAAAACAGTTATGTTCCCCTCCACCCTTTATTGCTGCATTTTTTCCTGTACCTGTAGCTGGGTAGCTGTTTCAAGTCACTTTGTTGTTCAAGGAGATATTTTCAAAGCTAGGATTTAGGCAAATCTCAGTCACTACTGACTATACTAGCCTGAGTACCTTAATCAGGGAATCACTGAATCATGAAAATACTGGTTGGAAAGGACATCTTGCAGACTTCCTCTGGAGTATAACTGCCTATTGAAGTAGGACTATCACCATCATTAGGTCAGGTCAGACACAGCTTTGTTCATCCAGGTCTTTAAATCCTCTGTCTCAACCTGGTTGAAAGATGTATGTGACTCAGACCTGGTCAGAGTCAATATATTTGTCGCCTGATTAGAATTAAGGCACAAACAAGGCCAGATGATGAAACTGTAACAAATTCAGGTGTTTGTTCCTGGAGAGATCAATGTAGGGGGGGAGAGAGAGAGCGAGAAAAGGGAGGGGGAGAGATGAGTTACAAGCAGATAGTTACCACCTGTGGATCCAGCGGTGTCTCGTTGGCCCTCTTCACCCAGGGTGTTGCCAGTGGTGGGAGCTCACCCTCTGACCTAAGCCCTACCCTTTCATGCTCAGGTTTCATGGGGTGTTATCCATAATTTGCATGTAAAATGTAGAAAGGCGTTATTATGATAATGGTGGATGTGTTTCAGTGAACACATATGCAGTTCCACAACTGAGGCTCTGTAAGGGTCTTCTTGGTGGTCGCTGTCCCTCATGTTGTGCTGCATCCTTTGAGTCAGCATTTTTCACAGTACTGTGGAGGCTTATCAGCTTCAAACAAGAGAGTCAGAACGATCCTGCCTATGCAGTATCAAAAGCCAACATCCTTGTTGTCTGCTTCATTTGCGATAATTCTTGCAAGGCCTCCCATGGTCAAATGCAAATGGTATCTGAGACAAGCTCAATTAAAGTGGTGTTTGAGACAAATTCAGTTTCCTGACTCTCACACTATGGAACGTAAGCAGTGTTTGAGACAAGCCCAATTTCCAGTCTCTCACATCCTTGAAGTACGGAAATTCCACCTCTTTGGGCAGCCTGTTCCAGCGCTCTTGGTGAAGAACTACTTTCTAATGCACCTTAGGATCCTCCCACAGTGGCCATTGTCCCCTGCTAGATCACCTGTCGCCACTGAGAAGAATTTGGTTCCTTCAACTCTGTAGATGCCCTTAAAGTACTTAAAGGCTGGTATTAGATTACTCCTTAACCAAATATTTGCCAGACTAAACCATATTTGTCTTCCAAAACCTGCATGAATTGCAGTGCACTGCAGACGCTTTTTGCAAAGCCAAGCATGGAATATATACAGAAGCAGAAATATGTGCATTTTAGTGTTAAAAGCCCCCATAAGCTTCTAAAAAACAGCAAATGGTTTATCTCATGACAGACATTACTTACGAAATACAACCTGTGAACATTACAGGCTTGCACTCTTTTACTTTGGAATGTATAAACAAGTTCAAAAAAGTTCCTATTTAAGAAAAGATTAAGTGGAAAATACTGCTGTCTGCTTTTGATTTATGAAACAAAGGTCTGCCTCTTTTCTCCGTGAGACTGTGTAGAGCTGAAGAGCTAATAGGTTATTGCTACTGTGCTTCTCAAATCATGAAAACCAATTAATTAAGAAAAGCAAATTTTCACATGATTGGCCACATCTCTAGAGGATTTTAGAGAAATAAAAAAATCATTTCCTTAGGCTGATGTGATTCTATTTCTTTTCAAACATTAAAATGTAAAAAACAGCTACCATAGACCTGATAGGCTGGAAAGAACTAGAATGTGCAATAAAAAATATCAGTTATCAAGAAGAGGGTATAAACATTTACTATTTAATATATTTTATATAAAACACTTACTAATATATTCTAGGGTAGATAAAAAGAATTAACACAGTATTGCATTGAAATTGCTTTAGTGATAGAGAATACATTCAATGAGCTGTATTAAGAAATGTAAATACATAATTATAGCATGAAATGTAATGAGAACTTCTTTTGGAAGTAGTGTAATGGCTAGCAAATGGATTCTTTCATACAGGAGTTTAGCCAGCTACACGAGTACTGCTCAAGGATTTAGCCTGCAGCACAGATGCATTTACAGCAAGGTAGATTCATATTTTTCAGTATTAAAATATTGTTTCGTTCCCAATTGTGGGGGAGAAACCACTTCACTCTGTCGTCTTTACCGGACTAAAATTATGTACACCTTTTTGCTGCTACTGGTACAGCCTCCTACAGTTCTGTTTTCTTAAAAAAAAAAAAATATATATATATATATGTATAAAATCCTACTGCTAATTCAATACTTACATTAACATACAAGGTTCTTCGGACCAGGCTTAATGATTCACTTCACTAGATAGTTAGAAATTTACTAGAGAGAGTCCATGGAACTAAAAAAGCCTCAAATGCAACAGCTAATGTGAATGGGCCAATAAAAGATAAAGAAAAATGTATTGCAGACAGCACATATACAATCATGTAATGTAGGCAGCTACCAATGCATGAGAAGACACAAAATCATGAATAGTGTCAGTAATTCCATTCCTCAGAAAGAGTTACGCTTTGATTCAGACAAAACTGCTTTGGGACAAGAAGAACTTTTAGGGAAGCCAAAAGACTATTAGAAAATGTTAAGACAAACAAAAGCTCATCCATTTCCAGTCAAGACATACTACAAATTACACTTAACACTATAATAAACATGGGACAACATTCTGTCCTACTAACCTTGATCATATAACAAAAGTGGAATTTAAACCCTTCAAAGTCAATCTAGCTCTTAGCTGAGCACAAGCCTACATTTTGTGTACATGTGTATGCGTGTGCGAACGCTGCTTCCCTGCACACACAAGATCTGGATGACTTCCACTTTCCATGAAACTGTCTTCATTTCTCAGATGAGTAAATTAACTGTGTTTTTAAAGGAAGGGGATTTTACTCTAGTAAGATTAAAAGCTACATAAAAACAAATCCAGCTTAATAGCCTTAAAATGTTAGAACTGCAACACGTCAAACTACTAAAATTACTGTTAGGCAATATTTTGGAACAAGACTCTCCTAAATTAAGTGCATCCTTCAGTAGAAATTAGCCACAGGCATTAAAGCCAGAGAAAAAAACAACGGGTATGGGCCCCCTGTGAGTCGTAACTAGACATGTCCCAGATACTCACCATAAAACAGTACCACTAACTACGTATATTACTACGTGCCTCTTTTTAATCCCTAAGGAGATTCTGTCCGAAGGAGTAACTTTTTAACCTATTTCAGTAAAATCTTCATTATTCATCAGTGCTGACCTCATTCTTTGAGTACGTTTCTGATTTCACAGACATTACTGACATCAGTGAGTGAGAGTCCCAAACTGGTACTGGTTTGCTCAATTTAGGCACTTGAATTATGGTGGTAGAATTATCCTCTATAGCTTGTAAACCGTTCTCTAAATAACACCTTTTCTCCATTGCTGATGTGAAATTTCATGCAACTTTCATAAATAGTGTTTACCCATACAGTGCTGAGCTTTTACTGGTACTTCTGCAACTTTTATCAGGGTACTTTAAGTTATGAAAAAAATCATTACAAATCAGGTAAGTATGCTTCTGCCAAAAGGTATCTTTTTCATTTGCAGCATTCCAGGCAGTCTGGATTCTCCATTAGGACACTAAATGACCTGACAGCTCACCTGTCACCAGGTCTATGGAAAACAACTGACAGATAAGGAGCCTCACCAAGGCTGGTCAGAGCAAAGAAAAATGGAGAAATAATGAGTAACTTCAGGAGAAGGAACTATGATGGGCTGGTTTTGAAGAAGAATGAAGTACTTTTGCCACAGATGGGAAGCTATAAAAAGAGGGGTTTTTAATAAAAGGAAAATGCTGAGACAGAAGCTAGTATAATACCTCAGTGTCTGGTGCAGAGGCCAGCCATATTTCAATGTTTTAATTAAAGGACAAAGTAAATAGCAGTGAGTCAGTTTCTCCAACAATACCAAGTAAGCAGTTGCAAACAATGTGGACAGTGAACTAATTCCAGCAGACCTAAGGAGACTGTGTTTTGACCTCCTTCCATTCATGCCAAGAACTTTATCTGACACTTGCACAATAATACTCTCAACCAGATGCTGCAGTAACAAAATTTGCACCAGTTCTTGAGTGCTGAAAGATAACAAAATGACTATTAAAGTAATCACAGGGGGCTGAAAAGGAATTGTAATATGATCTCTAGCATAAGTCTGAATTTCAAATTCTAAGTAATCAACTGCATTATTCATAACTACTATAGGATTATTTGATTAGTACACTCTTGCTTTTAGCTGTTAGATTTCTGAATGCACAAAAGTACCGACCAAGGCCAGACACCATTGATGATGAGCTGTGGAGGAACAAGAAGCAAAGACAGCTGTGTAAAGGTCTTGAAGTATCAATTCCCTGAGCAGAATCTAAACCCCTGATTTAGCAATCCAGAACCCTGATTTAGGGATCCAAGCACCTTTACACTGTGCATAAACTGCCTGGAATTTAGCAAAGTAGGAAATGAAGGGGGGGGGGGGGGGAGGGGAAGGGAAATAGACGACAGGTAGTTAAACCCCACATCCCAATTCTAATTTAAAGTCTTAACTCTGAACAGAGTTAAGTACCATTACCCATTCAAAATGCAGGGCCCATAACTCTAAAGGCACCTTACAACCATTCCTTTGAGGAACAGGCTGGGATTTGGCCAGTTCTTTCAAATGGGGTGAGAAAATAGAGATCTCTGGGCAGGGAGAGGAGGAACAGCTGGGAGGATCGGGAACAAGGGAGTCGACAATATCTAGTATAACACTATTCTCAACGGAACATTTGCCTAGGTGATGCAAGAAAATGCGGTCAGTGCTGTTTTCAGACTGAGAAGGTTTAAAAATATATTTCTAATGCCCTAAGAAAATTTCCTTTTCACCAACTTATTGGCAAGGAAGAATGGAAAATGCTTTCTAGTCACCTAATTGAAACTAGGTAACTAGGCATAAAAGAATGGAAGATTCATGGAACCAAGAAGAAACCCTGGAAAAGTGACATGCTTCTGTATCCTTGTGGCTAAAGTGCTCCCATGGGAAGGGGAATGCCACAGTCTGGTGTTTGCTTCTATATGTACATTTTATATCAAAAGCTATTGTATAATAAGAATAATCTGCAGAACCAAGACTAGAAGCTGTGGCCATCTTTGTAGACAACTTCCTAACCATGAGGCAGGGAAGTCATATTTATTTTTTCCACTTACCCTTCTGTTCCAGTAAACTTACTTTTCTCATTTGGAACAATACCAAATGGAAAAACACTATGGGAGTAACTTGGGTCTTTTCAAATTATAGTTCATAAGGCTGACAGCACCACCGAGTGCAGCACTGAAGACAGCCAGACTGGCTTGGAGTCTATGCAGCCACAGTACCAGCACAGAGAGGGAAAGATCATGTGGTATCTGTGTCACCTGTTATGGTTCTGGTATGATACATGCACATCACAGTTTAATAGCAATGAAGTCGGTGCTCTTTATGAGTCCCACAATTACCCTACCCATCTATACATAACAGGCAATGCAAAGCAGTTTTTTGTACAGCAGTCCCAGACTCCCTTGTTAACAGCACCTTGTGCATGCACAGAGAACAACTGCTTCATCCATGGTGCAGACAGTAGCTCAGATCCTGCAAGCAGTCACATCAGTGTGGTGCTACAGCTAGGTGTACTGACATTTTAACATGTGGTTCAGCA